ATTTTCGTAAAATACTATTAAAGTGGCATAATTGCATTCAACTTAAGTACTTTAATTTATTTATCTGTTTATTTATAGTAGGGAAGTCTGAATTTAAGCACTTTGGTAAAGCAATTTGATAAGTGGAGAAATGAAGGTTTCACTGTGAAAGACAGCACCCATCATTGTGGAACCAGAGATTTGGGACCAAAAATGTTGAGAGAGGGCTAAAGAGGAAGAAAGTACAATGAAGCAGAGATGTATTGGCAAAATGAACATTCGGGATGGTCACTGGTATGAAAGAAAGAACTCTTATCATCAAAATTTGGTGTAGAAGAACCCGGAAGTGTCAAGAAGTGCCAAGAAATTGATTTTCATTCAGGCTGGACTCAAAATGGACTCTGGGATATTAATAATTTTCCTCAAATAGGGTAAAAAGTTGTATGGTTTTTTTGAGGTTATTACATTATTAGGTTTATTATAACTTTATCAGGTTATTTACTATATTTACTACACATCCATGCCCCATGGGGGTGGGTATGATTTTTCCAAAGCTCCTTTCCACAAATGGTCTCTTCTCATGAGAACCCTGTAAGGAGAAGTAGGGCTGTCATTGTCCTCTGTATTGTGTAGACCAGGAGACTGAGATTGGTGAGATTAAGGGGTTCTAGGACCAAGGTCCCAGTTGTTGAGAAGGTGATCTGGAGCACGGAGTATCCTCCTCCGCACACCCCTCCCACTCCCACCTAGGTCACGTGAGACGGGGTCTTGGGTCTGCACACTTACTCACCGAGAGATGCAGGGTCCTCACTGCTGGTGCTGGACTTGCCACCTTGCGTGGGAACAATTTTCCTGTTTCCGATTCCACGTGGTCTCCTTTGTTATGCTACTGCAAGGGCATCACAAGGTATCTGTCCAACCCCGCTGCAACATCGTTCCCCTGGGAGGAGGGGATGAGGTCCTTTGGCAGCAGCACAAGAAAGAGAGGACCTGTGGTCATGGAGTGCTGACCCCACTCCTGGCCTTGACTCTGTCTCTTCTCTCCATGAGGGAAGCCTGGCTCCATCCTGTGCTAGAGGGCCAGTGTGTTTTCCTCGATGGCTCTGATGCCTAGATGCAGTGAGCATAGGTGCTCGGGCTGCTTCTCCTAGTGACCTGTGCTTGACCGTTGGGATGCTGCCAACAGAACCTAGAACGTTTCCTGGAGTTGCTTCCTTCATCTGGCCCCACTAGACTCGTTTTCATCCTCCTCTTGAACTGTCACATGGGTCTGGATGCTTAGGTTTGACCCCTAGTGGAGTACAATGGGGGCACAGTTGCTTGAGACCACAAGTTCTTATTTCTAGGAGCTTCTAATCCCAGACAAACAGATGTTGTGATTATGCAGAGAAGGACCCGTGAGGAATTCTTAGCTTTTCGAACTGAGCAGAGGGCAACTGAAACAAACAGGAATGAAATTTCCCGATGGAAATGTGGAATTTGTCTGCTTTTGGCTGAAACATCCTTATGATGGTGAATGCTGAATCACTCCCATTGGGAGATTCAGCCTGCGTGTATCTTCCGAAGACAGTCACTTTCTAAAGAGCAGAAGTTGTTTCTGCCCTGACAGTTTCACAGTCCCATGAACAGACCCGCCCTCCCCTATAAGGACCTTCCTTAGCACATTTATGGAAACGAACAGAATATTGAAACCCCAGCAGAGGATTAGCCTCTGCTTTTCTCATGCTTTCAGGGTGCTGACTTGCTTTTCTTGGTTCTCAAACGATGCAATCTGACAGTTCAGCAGCTTCCTGTTTGAGGGTTAATTATTTTTTTTTTATGCCTATATCTAAGATGTTTAAATTTGTGATTCATTCTCTATAATTAGATCTAATGCTTAGAATATATCCATGTCTATTGCATTCACATTTCTCCTGTGAGGGCTATTATTTTCCTCTCTGAGCAGTTGCCAGTGAACTTCGATCATGAAAATATGATGATAAGGTCAACCCTAAATTTGCAACGCACATGGCCATGAGTCAAGACATCCTTGCAGAAGATGTCCCCCCAAGACTGGAACAGGTGAGAGAGCCCCTGTGGTATGCACACTCCAGGGTTTGAACCAGGGCTCAGTGGCCCCACCTTGCTGGTTTCTCTGCCCCTTGAGAGTGAAACCAAGAAATAACAGAGAGCGGCAGAGTAAGCGAGAGGGTGGAGGGTAGAAAATCAGATCTCACAATGGGAGAGAAGGGTGGGGAATGGTTTGGTGTTCATTTGAGGTGGCAAACAGGGTCTCCCCCACCCTCACCCTTCCTTGGCTCTGCTTGAATATATAGAAGCTTCAGCAAATTCTCAGAATCCAGCCCATTTCTCTCCCATCAGGGCTTCTCACTCAAGAAGACGTGCTTGACTGAAAAGGAGGAGGTGGCCTTTTCTCTTCCCCAGAGGAGAGAAGGAATACAGGGAAGAAAAGGAAAGAGGTGACAGCCTGGAGGAGGCATGATGAGGAAGTGAGAAAGAGAGGAAAGGAAGGAGCCAGAGGAGGAAGAGAGGGCAGCCTGCCTCCGAAGGGACAACTTGCTTACTCAGCTCTGCCAACAGCTTAATGGCTGTCAATCTAGCACCTGGGACTTCCTCTTTCTGCAGACACACGGAGCTGGTGTTTCACTGGTAACAATAAGTTAATTGAACAGCCTGTCGACAGATGGGCATGCTGTGGCTCCAAGCTTCATGCTCTTTTGTTATATTTCTATGTGAGGGAGTCTGAAATAGAACCTATCTTTTAAACACACACACACACACACACACACACACACTCTCTCTCTCTCTCTCTCTCTCTCTCTTTCATCAAGTACCTCTCCTGCCTCTCTTAAACCAAGTCTCCACACAATTCAGCCTTTTAAATGATTTCAGAAGTAATCAAGCACAGTCTTTCCTTGGTATCCACGGGAAGCTGGTTCCAGGACCTGCCAGACCAACATCCTCCTATGCTTAAATCCCCATCTAACACAGTGTCGTATTTGCATAGAATCTAGGCGTGTCCTCTTGTATACGTTGAATCCTCTCCAGATGGTCTATAATACCTAAATCTGTGTAAATGCTGGCATGGCAAATTCAAGGTTTGATATTTGGAAATTGCTGGAATTTTTTTTACCCCAAGTATTTGTGACGTTTTTGGTTGAATTCTCAGATGTGGAAGCTGTGGCTGTTGAGGGCTGCCCGTGTTTCTGACTGGGGGTATTCGGGCCGGTTGCCTTCTGTGTCGGCCACAGAGGCTCAGAACTTGGTGCCACAGAAGATCTGTTTACAAAAGAGAGAACTATATGTCCTCTACCAGGGTGCCATGAGCGAATTAGGTCTCTTTTCATGTACTTTCAAATATTTGTCCACTGGGCAGAGCTACACTCTAAACCTGCTTTTCCTTTTGGGCATATTTGTGTCTCTGCCACTTCCTTCCATTTTCATCACATAGCATCTTCAGGCAAGGTCTCCTCCTTTCCGGGAGGATAGATGATGCCAGCTTGGAGTTCTGAGTAGCAGAGATTACTACACTCTGTTCTCTTCACTCTCTTTCATCCTGAAGCCTTGTTGCAAAGCAGTTTCTCCTGGGCTGGGTCTGTAAGAATGACCTCTTTGAATTAACTGAATCGACGCATCAAGTGCTCTTTGGTTTAATCAAAATGAACCAAGTGAACTGTCCCACAAAAACATGACAAAGAAACAGACCGCCTGCCCTGAATGAACAGGCTCATGTCCTACCGCTCCTGTCCTGACAGAGAAGCCGGCAGCCCCGGGGCCCAGCACGTGGTGCTCTTTACACACCCGGGGGTCTTGTCTCACTGGAGTGAGGGACTGGGGTCTCCACCCTTCTCTTGCTGAGGCCTCAGGTCAACAACAAACAGGAGGTATGATAGATGGCTTGCCACTTGTCAATGTGTGGTCAGCTTATGAAGGCTGGGGTCACCATCAAAGAGGCTTCATGGTCCAGGTGGGATCAGGCAAGGTGATCTCATGTCAGTTATTGGTAGGGAGGCCATTGATGTACACAGATTCTACAGTTGTTAAGGCACTTACAACCACTTCCATTCATGTGCGTGCATGCATGCGTAGTTGCTTAGGTGTGCCCGACTCTTTGTGAGCCCATGGACTGGAGCTCGCCAGGCTCCTCTGTCCGTGGATTTTTAGAGGCAAGAATACTAGAGTGGGTTACCATTTCCTACTCCAGGGGACTCTTACTTATTCCTCCTTTAATCAAGAGTCAATCTTCCCTCCCACCTAGAAAGGTCTTAAAGAAGTTAAAATGGAGTTGAACTGATGCCCAGTAACTTCAAAGTGCATGAGACTCACTTGGGAGACATTAAAGGATGCAGTGTACCAGGATCCACCCCTGATATCCAGAGTCAGCAGGTAGAGAAAGGACTGGAGAATCTGCATTTTCAGCAAGGACTGTAAGAGACTCTGATGCAGGCTGATGCAAGACCTCACTCTGAGAAGCACCCAAAAGAGGATGCACTCTCAGAGCCTGCATCTCCCTAAAGCATCCTTTAGACCAGGAGTCCCCAACCTCTGGGATCTAAGGCATGATGATCTGAGGTGGAGCTAATGCAGTAGCAATAGAAATAAAGTGCATAATAAATGTGACGTGCTTGAATCATCCTGAAACCATCCCCCTTCCCAGGCCCCAGTTCTTGGAAAAATTGCCTTTCACAAAACCGGTTTTGGGTGCCAAAATGGTTGGGACTGCAGCCTTAGACGATCAACAGATCCACCAGGCAAGAAGCCCCAGTCATATGCTACATGTTCTGTTGGGTCTTAGGTAGAAGAAGGCCAAGAACTCCGAAGCCTACTCTTTATTCTCTGGGGTGTGGCCACTTACAAGGGTCTGGGGAGCTGTCACAGGGAGGCAGAAGGTGGAAGGAGTAGATGGAAGGTTTTCACCTTGAGGAGGGGAAGAGTGGAAGGCAGTGAGCAGGCCCTGTGGATCCCCACTCATGGAGATCTGAGGTTGGATGCCGAGTAAGCTCCAACTTGCTTGATACCTTTCATACGGTGAATAATGAAATAATTATCTGGTGACTCATTAGCTGTCTGGAGAGCCTTATCGCATCCTCAGGTGAAAACAGCATGGACTGCTTGGTAAGAGAGGGGGGGGTTTCTGAGCTGGCATCTAGCCAACAGGAAGCCCACGAGGAAACATGGGATGCTAGCGCAGGGCAGGGGACCCGGTCTCCTTGGCACTGGTATGCAAAATTGTCCAGGCAAAACCCTCCCAGTGTGGGAGCTGGTCCATCCGGGGGTTTTGCCAGGTGCTGTCCCCACGCTGACACGGAGATCTCGGGTAAAGAGGTGAGTGATGGATGGGAGCGCTGGGCCAGCCCTAGGTAGGAGAGAGGCGGGGGTGGGGAGGGGGTATCGGTGAGTGGGAGGAGCTGGCGGAGGGTAACGGAGGCCAAGTTCCCACCTTGGAGCTGGGGCCAGGTGGGGAAGCAGGTCAGCACCGGCGAGGACGTGTGGGAGGCCTGGGTGTGCCCTGGAGGACTGGGTGCCGGGTGCCGGGAGAACACGTTCGCAGAGGGTGGGGGAGGAAGGCCGCTGGGGTAGAGAGGGAGGGTCCCCGAGAGTGAGGAGTGGGCGGGGGCCTGGGTTTGTCGTGCTTCCGCCAGCTCGGTGGGTCCGGAGGGGCACAGGAGAGGGGAGGCTGGGGGGCAGAAGCTTGAGTTCATGTCTGCTTTTGGAGACTTAAAACCCAGCAGCGTTTCTAGCCCTGGCCCAGTCGGTCTCCATCTGGGGCTGTGCCCGCGCGGCAGGTCACAGGGTTGGGGGCGGGCAGGCTCCACGGGATGGGACCGTGCATCTGGGCAGAGCTGACAGTGGCTTCGAGGTCCAAGAGATCCCAGGACTGGGAGGAGAGGCGAGCAGAAGGGCTGAAAGGAGAGCGAGATGCTTCTACACACGTGAATCGGCGGCCCCGGGAAGAAGTCCGGCCTCTTCTTCCAGCTCATGACATCTCTGGAAGCAGCACTGGCATTGGCTTCCTCTCACTCGGAGCCTCTTACTGAGGGATGGAGAATGTCCATCCACATGACCGCTTTTCCTCGCACCTGAACAAAGCGAGGGCCACCTTTCTTAAAGAAACAGACACCAACTAGGTCAGTTTCAGGGATGGGGTGTTGCCAGGCTTTCAGAGAGAAGCCAATGGATGTTGCAACTAGGGCTAGGCAGATAAGCGTTGAGGAAATGCCCCCCACCCCCACCCCCACCCCCACTCTGCTTAACTTTCTCTTGTTTAGCATCAGAGCTAAGTGAAGATTCAAAAAATTTTGGGGAAGGTTATCATTATTTTTTTATGAGTGAGAACTGGTTTCCCCCTTGCACTTTTTTCCATTTGTTCTCAGGAGGAGTTTGTATTGATCAGGGATGATCACCAAGCTTTGTGGAATCCTAGGCCTGTAGGGCCCTTCAGATGATGACTGGGAGTCAAGAAGACAAAAGCTTTCCTTTGCTTTAAAAGATTGGCACTGGAAAGGAGTTCCAAGATCGTTCTTAACTGATAGTGAAGCTGAGATTGGGGTGTGCCTGCCCTCTGTGAACAAAATCCTCATCTAAGAAGCCATGACAGAAAGATTATTACAGACATCTTCTGAAAAACCTCCAGGGAAGCAGATTCCATCATTTTCTTTAACATCATTTGGTGTTACCATTTCTGAGGCTCAGGAATTGTGTTTTATTTGCTAAAGAATCCACCCGCCAATGCAGGAGACGCTGATTCAATCCCTGGATCAGGAAGATCCTCTGGAGAAGGAAATGGCAACTCGTTCCAGGATTCTTTCCTGGAAATTCCCATGGACAGAGGAACCTGGCAGGCTACAGGTCACAAAAAGTCAGACACAACTTAGTGAGTAAACAACAGTAAACAATCATATTTGTAGTTTATTTATTGTTTTGCAGAGTAGTGGTCTAGGTAAGGGTTATGTTTTTCTAGTTTAATTTTGGGGAGATGTGATGTTGCCATTTTTTCAACTAGGAAGGTGGGGCCTGAGAAGTGCATTTAAAGGCAATTCTATGATTTGCCAGAGGCTTCCTGTTCCATCTGAGTTTAAGTCTAGAAAAACTCGGAGCTGGTTGTAAATCAAACTTATAAATGAGCTTTAAAATCACCTCTGAGCTGGTGGACGTGTTCACCAGATGACACAGTCTCTCTTCCCGGTCTGAACGCCCATTTTATTTCACCTATGTCTCTCTTGGGGTCTCACAGTATCCTCTCACGTTCTAGACTTTAATGCAATGCCCCGGATTCTAAGGACTCTGAAGGCCTCAACAGCGGTCTGGTTCATCCATACCTTGGACTTAGTAGGTACTCCAGACACAACTGATGGGTTGCTGACACTTTCTGCATCAGCAAAGGTCTTCTTCTTCTTTTTAATATTAATTAATTAATTTTTTTGGCTGTGTAGAGTTTTGTTGAGGCATGAGGGTTTAGTTGCCCAGTGGCATGTTGAATCTTAGTTCCCCAACCAAGGATCAAACCCTCGTTCCCTGCATTGGAAGGTGGATTCTTAGCCACTGGACCATCAGGGAAACCCCCAAAGGTCATCCTTTTTGAGTCATGCTCCTGCCCTCTCATTTACTCATGTGACGTCCATCAGTGGTGGACAAACTTCATTTTGAAGCTTGGGACTCTCTATCATTGCTGTTTAGCTTCTTTCATATCTTTTATATTGCATAGAAAATATAATAAAAATTAAAAATTATATGAATGAATGAGTAACATTTTCTTTTGGGACTTTGTTTTTGGAGGGAATGTTGCAAGAAATGATGTTCAGAGGTGATCCTCCATACAATGTATCAAGAAGAGTACTGTAATTATTGGCTAAATCAGGTACTGACTTACAGAAAACGTGCCCCCACCCCTTGTTCACTGAAGGCTACCCTAGATGTGTGGTGTGAAGGAGATGTAATGGTAGGAAATTAGTATGGGGTTTCATGTGTCTGATGAATTTAGTCCACTTTGAGGCATATTCCAATGGGATGTTACTCAAGCCTTGATCCAGAGAATCAGCTGATTGACTCAATAGGTTTGAAAACTACCTGTCACCAACTCCTCACCACCTCTGTGCATCTAATACCTGAATACGAGCCATGAAATCAGCACAGGATCTGTTATTTTTTTCTTTTCAGGAAGAGGAATTAGAATTTCCAGCAGAGATGAACCCTTTCTGAGTTTGCGGGCAGCTTCTCACCAGAGTCCAAATTCAAAGATGCACCCCGGGTCTAGGTCTTTATTTTTTAATGAATACATGGGCCACCTTGTATGACCTTTCACAACGATGCCCATCAACTTGGGGGCCTGGAATCAAGGTGCCAGGATCCCAGCAAACAGGTCCTAGATAAGCATGTGCTATTGACTGGGGACAAAAGATTCAGGCTTGCTCCCGAGCCCATGTGTGCTTTTGGTTTCTGGGATCTGAGCTGGTGCTAACGGACTTTAGACTTGGCTTTTCATGGACCACACCTGGCCCTTCTGCGTCACAGGCTCAACAGCATGCTATCTATTCACTTGCTTGTTTTGGGGAGGAGAGGTCAGTCTGGGAGGTGGTTGGGGGACAATTTGACTTTTATTTCTAATGCATTAGTGAATTATTTGGGGGTGAATTGATGTGGAGAAATACTAAATATCCTAAAATCCTGAAACAGTAGGGATTACTGAGGGATCATCTCATCCACTTTTATTTTGCTGCAGAGAAAGGGATTATGAAGAAATGCTTCTTTGTGTCCTCTCGCAGGTTGAGCCACATTTAGGAGTTACTCAAGTTTACATACAGGTTATAAATAGAGCATATCCTAGCTTCTGTAAGTGTTTTCTGCTAGGGGTATCCCACTAGAGATCCCAGCTCTATGTTTCTGAAAGTTTTTCCATTGGTTGACAGATGCTTCATTGGGCTTCCCAGGTGGAAATGGCAACCCACTCCAGTGTTCTTGCCTGGAGAATTCCATGGGCAGTGGAGTCTGGTGGGCTATAGGCATTAGTTCTATCCTGCTGAAAATCCAGGAAGGGGGAGGGGGAAACAATCCAATTCCTTTCTGGAGCAAAACACTAGTCATTACTCTTACTGTTTCTGCCCATTCTGGATCAGGGCACGGCCACGGGGCATGGCTCTATCCACAGCTCCAGGTGCCTGCAAGCATTTCCACATGTTGTTATTTAGTTGCTCAGTTGTATATGACTCTTTGCAACCCCATAGACCCACCAGGCTCCTCTGTCCATGGAATTCTCCAGGCAAGAATACTGGAGTGGGTTGCCATTTCCTTCTCCAGGGGATCTTCCTGACGCAGGGATAGAACTCGTGCCTTCTGCATTAGCAGGTGGGTTCTTTCCCATCTGAGCCACCGGGGATCCCCACAAAACCTTGGCCGGCTAGAGAGACCGGGCAAACATACCAGAAACAGAAGGTTTTTGTTCTTTGACGGAAACGGGAATGTCTGCGAAACTTGATTCTCCAATACAAGATTATGGAGGCTCTTTTCCTTCCTCCTAGGTGCCCTCTTATAAAAGACAGCATTTTCTTCAGCAGAGCTGGGGAAGGGAATAGGGTCAGCAGACTCCGTAGAGCTGGTTTCTCAGGACTGGAACTGGATTTGCTCTTCAGGGCCCCAGCTTTCTGTCATCCAATCCTCCTCTCTCCTCCCTTGAGAATAAGCACATCTGATAAATATATATCTGTCAGGCTCCAGACTGTATATAGACGCTGAGTAAAGGCAGTGGGGTGGCAAAAAGGAGGAGACAGAATAGTCCAAGCCCTCAGGTGTCTTTTGAGGGGAGAATTAAACAGGCAGAGGGTGGTACAGAGCACTGAGTGGATGGAGGTACTGAGCACCGAGTGGATGGAGGTACTGAGCACTGAGTGGATGGAGGTACTGAGCACCGAGTGGATGGAGGTACTGAGCACCTAGTGGATGGAGGTACTGAGCACCGAGTGGATGGAGGTCCTGAGCACCGAGTGGATGGAGGTCCTGAGCACCGAGTGGATGGAGGTCCTGAGCACCGAGTGGATGGAGGTCCTGAGCACTGAGTGGATGGAGGTACTGAGCACCGAGTGGATGGAGGTACTGAGCACCGAGTAGATGGAGGTACTGAGCACCGAGTGGATGGAGGTACTGAGCACCGAGTGGATGGAGGTCCTGAGCACCGAGTGGATGGAGGTCCTGAGCACCGAGTGGATGGAGGTCCTGAGCACCGAGTGGATGGAGGTCCTGAGCACCGAGTGGATGGGGCAGACAGACACTGTTGTCCAGGCTCTGCGCTCCTCTAGAACAGACTGTCCCAGAAGCCTCGCCGAGGAGGACAGGAGCTCACTCTAGCTCATCAGGCCGTCTTTGAAGGGCCATTCCTTCCCTTTCCCCTCTTGGAGCTCCTGAGCGTAGATGGAGATGTACGTAGTACTTACTTAGATGTACCTACGTACTACTACGTAGTCTGTCCCTCTGCTTTTATTAGCAGCGCTTGCTAGAAAAGAGAATGATTTTCCCTGACTGCTCTAGAGTCAATGTGGTCTTAGTAACAAACTAGGCATTTCTTCCCCCTAAGAATTTCTAAATAAAGTGTCTGAAATCGCACTTGGAAATCAATGTACTCAAGTGTAGAGGTCAATGTGAGGGGCTCGAGAGGTTAGAGTGTCCAGCCCAGAGACTTCCACCGCTGTTTGTCATTTCCCGGCAGTGTAATTTTAAGCAAATTGAATCACCTAAATTTGAACAATTAATCTTTTTCCTGACTATACTTAAAAAAAAAATTGTAGGGAATTCCCTGCTGGTCCAGTGGTTAAGACACGGGGCTCTCACTACTATAGGCCTAGGTTTGATCCTTGGTGGAGGAACTAAGATCCCACAAGCCTCATGGCAGGGCCAATAAATAAAAATTAAAAGAATTGTGAAGTATAGTTGATTCACACTATTGTATTACTTTCAGGTGTACATAATTGTTGTGCATCTTTGCAGATTAGAT